ATGGACAGAATTTCTAGGCACAGCCAAGGTGTTGAGGGAATCSGTTTTGGTGACCTTGGGATCGCATCTCTGCTTTTTACGGATGATGTGGTCCTYTTGGCTTCATCAGATCAAGACCCCCAGCTCTCACTGGAGCAGTTCGCAGCTGAGTGTGAAGCGGCCGGGATGAGGATCAGTGCCTCCAAATCCGAGYCCATGGTCTTGAGCCGGAAAACGGCAGGGTGCCTTCTTCAAGTCAGGGAGGAGGTCCTGCCCCAAATGGAGGAGTTTAAATATCTCGGGGTCTTGTTCACGAATGAGATAAGAATGGAGCGGGAGATTGATAGGCGGATTGGTGCTGCGTCTGCAGTGATGTGGGCGCTGTACCGCTCTGTTGTGGTGAAGCAGGAGCTGAGCCAGAAGGTGAAGCTCTCAATTGACCAGTCGTTSTACGTTCCTACCCTTATCTATGGTCACGAGCTTTGGGTAGTGACTGAAAGAACAAGATCATGGATACAAGCGACTGAAATGAGTTTCCTCTGCAGGGTGTCTGGGCTCTCCCTTAGAGATAGMGTGAGAAGCTCGGTCATCCGGGAGGGACTCAGAGTAGAGCCGCTGCTCCTCCACATRGAGAGGAGCCAGTTGAGGTGGCTCGGGCATCTGGTTAGGATGCCTCCTGGACGTCTCCCTGGTGAGGTGTTCTGGGCACGTCCCACTGGGAAGAGGCCCAGAGGAAGACCCAGGACACACTGGAGGTACTATGTTCTCGGCTGGCCTGGGAATGCCTTGGGAATCCCCCAGACAAGCTGGCCCAAGTGGCTGGGGAGAGGGAAGTCTGGGTCTCTCTGCTTAGGCTGCTGCCCCCGCGACCCGACTCCAGATAAGCTGAAGAAAACGGAAAGATGGACGGATAAAAACAACAGAAGTTGACCAAAGTGATTCATAATTCAGCCAAATGAAGAGATTAAAAAAAATAAATCCACAAATGTCTATAAATTCGTAAAATTAGTATAAAATACAMAAATCATACATAAAAACATCAGTTCTAAAAGAATTTCAAACTGCCATAATCAAAAGCCAAGGAGTAAAGTTGGGTTGCATAGATGTAAGTCTCAATGGTCTGAATACAAAATAGTAAACCATTACACAGAACATCTGAGAAACTGGTTGGATGAGCAAAGTGTTGAAATCACACAGGTATGACAACTCTAAAAGAAAGCAGTAAAATTTATCCTTAGGCCAGAACCAAAAATGTGTTTGTGTTTTTCACCACCTCAGCTGCTGCATTCCTTTTAAACGGCCCATTTCAAATGAATTTATGAGGGTTACACGACGAAGGAATAATTCTGAAGACCTACCTGTTAGATTATTTCAAACTAAAGATAGATTGTTATTTCAGTTATGCATTTTTCAGTTATTGCAAAAGTTTGTTTTTGCCCTACTGCTTCTGCTAATGCCTGAATTGCATATTGCAAAGCTTTGTCATTTGCTTCAAAATGGTCTCATCCATAAAATATAAAGTGTTTATAYTACTTCTGTTAGCTTGAAGCTGGACAGGCCTCTGCCACTGTTTGTTCTCGATGAATGCAGCCATCAGATCTGTGCTGGTGTATCAGCTGGATCAGGTGACAGGCCTATTGTCAMACTGTTGCTTGTGCAGCTGCTCCCTGCATGTTTTAATGCTAAGCAGGCACAATCATWTCCACCATYCCAGCATTGTCTCTGTATTGTCACSTTAATGACTGATGATCCCAAACATGCAGCAGGTTCTGCACATAAACTCAGRTGGAGTGTTGACACAAGAAGGAGCAGACTGCAGCGTGACATGATTGGGGAAGCAAGCCAATCAGAGCTGATGTTGCTGTGAACAGGTGGGCAGGGTCTGTGTTTGTCTATGTGGGAGGAAGAAGGAGGGGTGGGTGCCATCTGGAATTACACCGATGCATCACACTTCACAGATCCTCCACGGGGCACGACCTGTTCCATACGAATCTGCCTTAACTAAATTTTAAAACCTTTTTTTTTGTTCCTCAGCCTCTTTCAACTGCATCGCCTGAACCATGGAGGAGTTTGGTGAAATGTCCCGTGATGGTGATGAAGACGGGAGTCAGAGCTTGTGCTCCGACCGTCAAGCAGCAGCGCCGAGCTGGGCCTTCCTCCACAAAGCCATCATCACCATCATCATGGGATCTCTGATGTCCGCTGTGGGCATCCTCCTCTTCCTGATCCGGTCTCCTGGGGGGGCCGACTCATCCCGCTCGGTAGCCTCGGCCTGCRTGTCCATTGGGCTGATGTTTGTTGTGGTGGGGCTGGTGTGGATCCCTGTTCTGAAAGAGAAGGACAGGCGGAAACGACTCAGCCAGGGGCTTGAATGAAAAAAAAAGAAAGAAGTGTAGTGTTTGTTGTTGATGATGCAATTGAAACATCAGCTCAGTCAGGCTGCTGTGACCTCCTACTGATAACYGTGAACATTGGACTTTGACCGGAGTCTCAGCAGGTTGTTCTGTGGGATGATTCCACTCTGCCGTCCTGCAGCTGCAGTCCCAGGTTGATTTTTATTCTACTGTCTTCTTCCGAGGGTCTCCACTGCCATCATGTCCACCTGCGTGCAMGTAGAGGCGGTCCCAGAAAGGAGCCATGGAGCAATGGGCCGCTGCAGGTGCTCGTTCTGGTTTGCCGTGGCCCATGACATCCTCGGCGTCTTGATCATGATGGTGGGGGTGTTCGGGGGCCTGGCCATCCACGACCTGTTCATCTACGGCGGGGCCATCATCATCTTCCTCAGCCTGATCTGGTGGGTGTTCTGGTACTCGGGCAACATCGATGTGCCACCCGAAGAGCTGGAGGACGACGTGGGCCTGATGAAGACCAAGAAGAACCGGGGAATGAGCCAGGCTGTGAGGCGCYTGTCCAACGGGATCAGGAACTCTTTTAGGAGGAAGGGTCGGCCCAGTGGAAAGGGGCCWACAGGAGACTGCATAGGAGACCGCATATCTACGATCTCTGGMACAGATGTGGCGCTCTGCTTGACGCTGAACAGAACTAATTCCTCCTCATCAAAAGAACTCGTCAGAGAGCCACTGTCCATATAAACTTTTACAGAAAAACTTGGATTTTTCCCCCTTTCTTTTATGCTAGTTTTCTCTCTTTTGAAAGGACTTTCTAGTTTGTCCTAAAACGGTAATCATTAGTCAACAGTCAAGTCATGTATGGATAAGATCCACATGCTCTTTTGTTGCTGATAAGAGCTCAACTTTACACAACATGAGGGTTTTACTGACACTGTTTTAGAGTTTTATCACCAACCATGTGCTGTTTAGATGTTTATGAGGAATGCTGTAAATAGAAAAATGAAGCAACTTTAAAGTATTTGCTGCTGCGTCTGTTGTGTCAGTGTGGAGCCTGAAGGACTCTACCAAAGGACATGAAACAAACAAGTTAATTATGTATAAGGATCAGTCAGGAACATTTTTTCCATCAGCAGGGACAATGTACAACAATTGTCTTTTGTAAGATGTAAAAAAAACTGTTAAGCTCAAACTCACTCTGCTTTTTTCACRGATTTCAGTTCAAAGCATAAGCTCAATTACCTGAATCTGTATGCAGTGTAAACATGATATAATTTTAAATTCGAAGGCATTTCTGCTTGACTTCTCTGTTTATGATTTAGAGCTTCCTTGTCCACCTGCTGCACCAAGATGATCTTCAACATGTTTTGATTGATGCCATAAATCTTATTCAAAGTCCCTTCAACTCTGGTGTGGAATTATAATATATAAAATGATAAATATAAAGTTTCTGATGAGTGGTGATAACAAGGCAAGTAAGAATTATCAAAACAAGTCTTTGAATGCAACAGTGATACAGACTGATTTGAAGAAGATGAAAGACAAAAGAAGATTGAATATATAT